GCTGCTGCTGCTGCAGCTGCAGCCGGGCCCCAGGGCACGGGGCTGCGCGCGCCCAGCCCCTCTAGGTCTGCCCCGTGCAAAGTGCACGTAAGGCTGCAACAACTCCTCTGCGCGCACGCACCCATGCCTTGGTCTCGTGCATCCCGCTGTCGTGCAAGGAGGAATAGCATTGGGTCTGACTGGCATGGCACTAGCTCAGTGGGCCGGTGTTTTTGTTTTGCAGAGGTTGCCAGCTTCTGCTCTGGAATCTGATGATTTTTTTTTCGGGAGGGCGGGGCGGAGGCGAAGCTGGAGGGAAGTCCTCATGGCTGCAAGGAAAACCTTCGAGACGTGAACAGAGTGTAAACCAACGCATTGATGTCTTTGTGTCTGCCAGGCCTTCCAGCAGCCCTGCAGGCTCACTCCTGCGTCCAAAGCAATACCTAGTCGCCTTACACAAGCAAACATGCATACGGACGAGGTTGGCTCCGGTGATCAGCTTCAATAAGGGAGATTAGTTAAAAAAATGTTAAAATGAAGATTTCATTGAGCAAGTAGATTTAAAAAAAAATCTTTCATCAAGAGAAAGAAAATGTTTAAAAACTGGTCCTTAATTAAGGCATCCAAGCCATCCAGGGCAACCCTGTGGACTTTTACTCCTCTACACCCTTTTACTTTGCTCTCTTGCCATACCAGCTAAAATGCCTGATCTCTTAATAACACACAAACTGATGGTAAAATTGAAAATAATTCCATTATAAATCAAAGAATCATTGAACCGTAGAACTGAAAGAGACCTCATAAGGTTATCAAGTCCAGCCCCCTGCTCTAGGCAGGACCAATCCCAACTAAATCAACTCCACCAGGGCTTTGTCAAGCCCAGACTTAAACACCTCTAGGGATGGAGACTCCACTACTTCCCTAGCTAACCCATTCCATTGTTTCACTACCCTCCTAGTGAAATAGTTTTTCCTAATATCCACCCTGGACCTCTCCCACCACAACTTGAGACCATTGCTCCTTGTTCTGCCATCTGTCATTACAGAGAACAGCCTCTCTCCATCCTCTTTGGAACCTCCCTTCAGGAAGTTGAAGGCTGCTATCAAATCCCCCCTCACTCTTCGCTTCTGCAGACTAAACAGACCCAAGTCCCTCAGCCTCTCCTCATAAGTCATATGCTCCAGCCCCCTAATCATTTTGGTTGCCCTCCTCTGGACCCTCTCCAATGCATCCACATCCTTTTTGTAGTGGGGGCCCAGAACTGGACACAATACTCCAGATATGGCCTCACCAGAGCCGAATAAAGGGGAATAATTACTTCTCTGGTTCTGCTGGCAATGTTCCTCTTAATGCAACCTAATATGCCATTAGCCTTCTTGGTTACAAGGGCACACTGTTGACTCATATCCAGCTTCTCATCCACTGTAACCCCCAAGTCCTTTTCTGCAGAACTACTACTTAA